AGGTAAATTGGGTGTGCCGTGATTCACGGTTCTCAAATCAGACCAGGACGAATTCTGCAGGCATATACACCATGCAATGCCAGTGACCTCCATAGAGTTTTACGAGGGGTAACAGAGGAGATTTTGGCTCATTACTTTATGACAAATAATTATGGCAAGTACTAGTCTCCTATGCATATTTCTTCATCCAAGGGAAAATGAAGTTTTTAAATGATGGTTTGAAAGTTCAGTGCAATTAAGCAAGCAGACGTTTACATGCTTGCATCTCATTTCATCTTATCTGCATCTCATTGGTCTACAGACTGGTCTGAAAATTTCACAGAACAGGCTCTCTCGCTAGGTCTCCAGTGCTTCCAGGTTGCATGGGAGTGGAAGACACCATGAGCACAAACTTTCTCACACTATTTCTATACATCACCTTCCAGTGAGGCTGTCTGTTTTGAACATTGAAACTAGAGATGGACATGAGCCAAAACTCTGGATGAGAAAGAATTTGGGCCCATCTGTACTCAAAACAGACCTGGCTACCATTCAAAGTTTGGGATAAAGTTGTGGAGGTGTTTATTTCATCCAAATTGGTTTGCCTATTCCTATGATAAACATGTTCCTAAAAGCATAAAGCAAAAATCTCCTTTCAGAGCTGTAAGACAACACTTTACCCCCATTTTCTGCTCCCCCCATATCCATGGAATTTGTACTGAGCAAGACATTGGAGTCAAGAGACCAGATCAGCTGGTGTAAATTGGTGTAGTTCCATTAAAGACAATTTATGCCAACTGAGGATGTGGTCCAAGAGCTACAAAGTGAGTCTCAGAGAAAAAGTTGAATTGAAATATGCTCTTCTGGAACAAATGTATTGACCAATTCAGTTTTATTCAGGACAAGAAAATGTGTTCATTCTTCAAGTAAATACAACCCAAATCTCCCTTGAATGTATTACAAACACAGCACAGAGATGCTATCAGATTGATCAAAACCTCAGGCTTTGTAGGACATTCAGATTTGCATTCTGTGGATCATATACTTCAATATTTTCTCTACATAATTGTAATAGTATTGTTTTTTCATAATGACTTTTAATCCATTGTTCAGAAAAATACAGTGATTCTCTAATACACTTATTAACAAGATAGCACAAATAAGCCCAGGGAAAGCTTTCAATCTGTTTTTTTGCTTCTTCTTGTAAAGGACTTTCTGCATCTGGGAATTTAGAAGTTCATTAGTTAATGGGGACTGAATAATTGTGCCAATATACTGTAGGCTAAAAAAAATAAACTGACTAATGTTGCTTCAGAAATGCTTTTGGGGCCCCTTGGTATGGTCTAAATATTTAAAGGATGAGCTTTAATTTTTCAAATGATGAATCTTGAAAGAGTTACGTGTGTATTATTGAAGAAAAGTGCTGCAGAATGAACTATTATACAAAGTGAAACCATCAGAGTAATAAAAACAACGAGGAGTACTTGTGGCACCTTAGAGACTAACAAATTTATTTGGGCATAAGCTTTCGTGGGCTAAAACCCACTTCTTCAGATGCATGGAGTGGAAAATACAGTAGGCAGAATATACGGTTTAGCCCACAAAAGCTTATGTCCAAATAAATTTGTTAGTCTCTAAGGTGCCACAAGTACTCCTCGTTGTTTTTGCTGATATAGACTAACACGGCTACCACTCTGAAACCCATCAGAGTAATGAGATCAACTGAAGGTCCAAAGCAATATGGTCAGCAACCCCTTTTCTTTAAATTACCAAAAATACTATATGACGTGTAACACCCCAATAGCTAACAAGAACTTTCAAAGTTTATAATAAATTGGGGTCAAGTGGTAAGTTTTACAGCCCCATTTCAGAGTTTCTGATGTCGATTGGCTTACCACAGCTCTGACCACAGTAGCTGACTGGTTCCTTAGGGGCCAGCAAAATCCTACTTTGATTCAAGCTTTTATGGACAGAGAAACACAACTATAAAATTTTCCTTCCACCCAGTTGGTGGTAGCCATATAATTACAGTATGGAATTATTACCAGGTCATATTGTGTGTGGTACAGGCAGAAAATCCAAGGCTCAGGAAATTGCCCATGGTCACCTGAAAAGTCCATATCATAACCATAATTAGAAGACCGCTCTCTTCTGTTAGACCTATGCCTCATCAACTAGATCATGCCAACTCCAGTCAAGCACTTTAACATCTCTGTCGTAGTTTCTCTATTTGTACCGTGCAGAGGAGTAATGATATTGAACTACTGTAAAGCAAGGTACTGTACTGTGTGAAGTACTACAGAAATGCAAAGTCAAGACCATTTAGTTTCAGAAAGGTAATACAACTCAAGATGCCATGGCTGGCAGCCCTGTGCTTTAATCCACTGGGCTTTTAGGAGGCTCCACCCCCTTAGTTGAAATTCATACTTGTCAATTTGAGACTAATAATGGCTATTTGCTTTTTCACAAACATCCAGATAGTGCTAAATATCATTAAAATTGCCCCAAATCCACAAACCTTACTCAAGCTCAAAACCAGATACATCTTTATCCAAAACAACTACCAACATTTCACACCTCTCTTACACATATCAATGCTACACATCCAAGATAAAACTCACCCCTGGGCAGAAGGCCAGAACAAGGTATATGTCCTACATAAATCCCACTTAAGTCTTATTTTGAAGGCTAACCAGGTAACTGAACTTCTGGAGTGGACCCGGATGCAGAAGAGATGGAGATGACGCCTTCCTCTCCGCCACCACTTCACTTATGGCCTACTTTTCTGTATTTGTTATTCTTTTTCCTGTTCTCCCGTCCCCAGTATTAGCCTGATATTACCCAGAAAACTGTGAAGTTAATTTTTGCACCAATTTTTGCCTATTTTGACAGTTTTGTAACAAACACCAGTAAGTTCCTGGGAATTTTTAAACAAAATAAAAACTGAAAACAAAGGGACTTGCCATTTGGCTTCCACCTGCCTGACTGATGGAGGGACTTGCCCATTTGTCCATATTGGTGACAGCTGCACCACTTAAAGCAATTTGAGTGATGAGGGCAAGTTACTTTTTTGGTGGGGGAGAGGGTGTTGGGTGGGGGAGAATAATGTGAGAGTTTAAACACATTATTCTGGAGAGGTGGCATCCCTCAGTAGGGAAGAGAGACATTCATAGAACATAAAACCTTTCAGAAGTTCTGGTTCAATAAATAAGTTTCCTTGAGCACATCCTCCCATTCCCATTGAAGAGACCAAATAAAATGTAAATCTCTGACAATGAAAAGTGATCAGAATTGCTGGCTACAGTTTTACATCATGTGCATTTGACTTTTGATATAGACCATCTGTGAGTTGGCAACAGTAATAAATCTGAATGTTAGCACGAATCATTTTCCAAGTTGTAGGTCAAATGCTATCACACTTAAGTGTCATCTACTCATTAAGATAAAACAAGCGTCCTTGTGTCATTAATTATTTGATTAGTTGCCTATTTCCAGAACTTTAGAGGCAGCAAATGCACCCTTATTTTCCTATAACATGGATAGTGTGTTTGTTTAAGTCCCCTTGGCAATTCTTATAAATCATACACATTGCTTTGAGTCTTTGCTAGAAAAGTGATGATTTCAGCATGTTTCAAAGAAACATTCTGAAAATAAATCCTGCTGTTCTGTAATTTTATCACAATGTAAGGGCTATGCTTAGCGGGTAGCATGAGTAGATCCCTGGTCTGCAGCCACACCACGTTCAGCTCTGATCTGGTCAGATTTCAAGCTAAGCAGTGACAGGCATGGTCATTTTTTTAATTGGAGACCTCCAAGTAAGTAGCATTGGTGTTTCAGGAGGTGGCACTCTTCCCTCCAAATCGGTAGAGAAAGTATCATCACAGCATGGGGTTAAAAGGCTGTCTGTTGCTGTGCTTTCAGTGAGGCACAAATCCAAGATCCTGACCACTTAAAAAGCATCCATAGCAATGGACCCCAACCCCCATATGTAACACTAGCAAGTAAGATAATATCTATTGAACAAGCAGGAATGTGAAGGGTACATCAAGTATTCTAGGAAGAGTTTATAAACAGGCTAAATACAGTTCTGAGAGATATCCTGAGTGAACCCAGGATTCTTCTTTTAATTACAAGATCTTACACCAAATTCATGTCTGCTGTAAATCCATCTTATACCATGTGTGTGCATTTAGCTTTTTAATCTAGCGGTAACAATAATATGTATTGCAGAAACTATTTTAACTGAGAACTTTTTTTTTAATCAGTCTAATATATTGAAATATGGAAGCCTGCATCTGATTTCAGTATTTTTGGCTAGTTTGATATTATAGGAAAATCTTTTGAAAAGAACTTATGCTGATTGTTTGAAAGATATTTTAATATGATTTAGCCCTTTTTCCTCTTAAAAAAATAAACTGAAGGGGAAAAAATCCATTAAAAAAAAAAAAGAAGAAGTGTGCTAGCCTCAGTGCCACGTTCCAGTCTGAATAAACAAATTGAATCAAATTCAGCCCTGATGTAAATAGAGCCATAGTCATTGAAACCAGTTTCATTTTTGAAAGTTATGATGATTTTTTAAACATTCCATCACAGAAATGTCTTGGGTTACATGCTCCAGATATTGTTTATATTATTGTCCAATAGGAAGACCCAGGCCTGTGAATATTACTGGATAGCTGGTTAACTTTTTAAATTTTTCGGTCCCTTTGTGGTAATTGCAGAGGTCCCATGTATAAAGGCTGTGTCTATGGACAGTCATCGTTCTAAGATGTGGTATAAAGGAAGGTTGTGGGGTGGCATCTGGGGAGAGATGGGGAGATCTTAGCTGTGAGAAGAGGAGCTAGGATGTTCTATGTATGAAAAAGCTCCAATTCATGGATGCTGGGGAAGCTTTACAAAACATCAGTACAGTACTTCAAGTCGCATGATAGAACAGTAGCAAGGAACATATTGAAGATTCTGCTCTAACAATCTGCATTTAGATTTTAAACTCTTCTCAAATTGTTTTTATTATTTTTAAGAGTCTACCTATCGTCATCAGGCAACTATTGATGATGAAGTTGTTTCCATGGAGATACTAGACACAGCTGGTCAGGTGAGTGAGAACAGTCCAGAAGAACTGATTCTCATACACGAATAAACAGGAGAAAAGGGGTGAGAGTAAGGCAGCTGCACGACACTTCCGGTGACTGAAATCAAGTAGCGCCCATGCCACTCTGAGCAGCGGCTGCCAGACCCGGGTGCTGCACACAGATCGATGTTTAGAGTTTTGTAATGTGGAAGAGCGGGTGGAGATAGTGTGTGACCATCTGCAGAACTCTTTATTTTACATGCCTTAACTGTAACAAAGGCTGCGTAAGGAACTTCAGCAGGTGCCCCAAAGTACTCCACTTCATCATCTGGAAGCAACTGTCTCTGTGCACAAGGAGCCTCCCACATAAATCTGCAAGATGAAGGCTCTGCATGAAATCAGTGCAGTGTAATCTATGGTAACAGTGACCTGCCTGGCCCAGATCACATTACCAGATTTCCCTAATGGGTTATCACTCTTGCCTGGTGCCATTATCCAGAGGAGATACAGACAGTCTAGCAGTATTCCCCTAAGTGACCTATGTGGACACCCAAGAGCACCCCATGAAGCTAACCCCTTAGAAAGGAATCACAATACCAGGATATAGGCAGGGCCGGTGCAAGGATGTTTCGCGCCCTAGACGAAACTTCCACCTTGTGCCCTCCCCCCTCCCCGAGCCCTGCGGGAGCTCCCTACCCCCGCCCTCTGCCCTGAGGTCCCCCCCCTCCGCCCCGAGGCACCCCCCCTGCGGCAGCTCCCCACCCCCCC